ATATTTATTTACTTGAAGTGCATAATTTATAAGTGCATAGAGCGCTTGAGGGTCATCTAGATGCACGCGAGCATGTAGCCCATCGGGGGGGCAGCCTCAAGCTTGACTTTCCGGAAGAACGGAAAAAAACAAAAGACTGAGCGGTGCATCATATATACGTATAAAGCATTCGGGCAAACGAGTGAAGAAGAGAAAAGAGCTGCGAAAGGTCTGGCATGGGCGTGCATTGCGCACCGAGGTATTACTTATGCGTGTGTGCGTGGGCGAAAATGGCCAACGGCGTCACCACGCGCCTGTGCGCGGCTGTGTCGCGCTGCCTTTGACCACTACTCCATATGTAAATACACTTTGTGGGCATATAAAGAAGCTACTGCCTACTGTAGCCGACTAGACCGAATCTCCTATCTTTTCTTACTCGAGATACTGTATACTCCATCTGCTGATCTTTAGAGAATTTGTGAAATTCGATCAATTACGAATCCTTTTTTTTATCATTTTTTTAAATATCTAAAACTCGATTTTTCTAATGATAATGAATACTTTTGCTATAGCAAAAAATAAGCTATTTTTGGTTATAAAGCTAAAGCTGTCATTCGAATTTATGGAAAAATGTTAGGTAAATACGAGTTTATAATACTTTCCAGATTTTTTTACGTTTTTTCTTATCGGACGAGTATTTCAGAAATTAGACCAAAATAAGTAGGAATTTAATTTACCTTGCTAAATGCAATTTAATTCCTTTTTTGGTACTACTATTCGAAAATAATCTATTCACAGCAATTTTTTTTTTCCTATAAAAAAACTGGAATCTTTCCTCGAATTTACGATTTTTTTAAAATGTTCACCTACACAAAAACAAATTTTAAAAACCGATAAACACCTGTTTCCATCAATTTTTCGATAATTTGAAAAGCTTATATTTCATTGGAAACCTAACTTATAAACCTAACTTATAGTTCATTATTCAGTTTAGGCGATACAAAAACTTTCTTAAAAATGACCACTTCAATAAAGGGTATTGATAAAAAAATATTGTAACTATGCGCATAACATTTTTCATTTTTACTGATATACAGCTCTTTGAATGAGTTTTTTAACCATGTTTTGACCGTATTTTTTTTCTTTTGCGTTTTTTTTTCTAAATCATATTCAAATTTCGTTTTTAATCATCTCCCGTTAATTTACAATGCAAACCATTTAAACAGAGTCAAGATGATATGTATTTCTCAATGAAATCGAATGCAAGCACTGAAAAAATAATCGAACCTATGTGTCGCTCTCAAAAAGTATATTAATGATGGAAATTTTGGCGAAAACGTCAATGTGAAAAATTGTATTTTATATCCAATCATTCTTAAAAAATTGTGTCCATAACCATTCATAATCCGAAAAATTTTACACTGTCTATAGGCTTTACAGATTAAACAGTTTGTTTTGAGTATTAGGACTAGTGAATAAAACCACAATAGAATAGGAAAAAGTAAAAAAATCGCAAAAAAATTTTACGGAATGAGCTGTAATTTAAAAAATCGAAATCTTAGATATGTGAAGGAAAGAAAAAAAATGAGTTGTCGATTGCAAGGTATCTTTCTCTCCTTAAATAAAAGATGAATGAAACTTTTTTTGTTTGATATACTCAAAAAAAACTTTAACATAATCTAATTACAAAAGTAATCTCGGATCTTGTATGAAACTGTTCTAAAAAATTGGAAGTAAGTGCATTGTGAGTGTACGTAGAAATTATCGTTGTTCAATTTAAAATCAATTTTGAACTATATTGATTGATTTCATTATTTTTATTTAATAATATTTTATTAACTAAATAATGATGATACTTTAAGCACAAACCTTTTGATTGTACATTTCATCCAAAATTAAGATTACGAGTATCCAAAATCGTATTAGGTTTTTCTTAAATTTTTCGCAATATCAATCTTACGAGGATTTTATTTATTCAACTAGTTTATCACATAAAACAAATAAGTTCTTCCAAAGCATTGTGCACACGGCAACACATGTAAAATTCAACTAAACGTCGAGAGTTCGTCAATGCACATTTAGCGATGTTCTGTTGGCATGAAACTATAGTATAATAAATGACGCGGAGCATAGGTCATCGTGGGCCCTTTTTCAATGAGCAAGCAGGAGCGGCCTTCCGGGCACGCAACTGTCACTATCTACCACTGTAATGCACGCTTGCTCCGCAACAAGGAAGTAAGTAATGAGAAAGCCGGACTCTAAAAAAAAAATTTAACGATAAATTTCAAGAAAGGTAAGTTAAATTTGAATTATCATGATTTTATTTTAAACCAGGGTCATGTATATAATTCTGATTTCATTTTAAAATCAAAATGGCTGAAAAATAAATGCTGAAAAATGGATAAAAGGGCTTATTTTTCCTCGGAGAAAACGGGAAAGAGAGAAAATAAAAAATGAAAATAGCAAAGCTACCTCTCTGATGGACGTACATGCATATACTTTGGCAACGTTGTAGTGTGCATAAAAAGAAGTCACGTACGTCTGTTGTACTGTTATGTGTTAGCGTAAATTTATGGAAATATTTGTCGCTGTCGAGCATGAGCAGTGTCCAGGCGGTGCACATACGCGCGTACACCGCAGATACCCCGCACGATGACCAGCTGACACTTTCTGAAGTTGTTTTTTTGCTGTCTCTCTCTCTTTCTCTTTCTCTCGTTTTCTCTTTTCTTCTCTACCCTCGTTAAGCTCGTCAGACGCTTTCTTTAATCCTTTTCATCTATGATTATCAGAGCTGTACGTCGTCGTTCATGTTGCAAGACGTATGTATTGATATGGTGAGAGAAGTCTACAATCGCTTAATATAATATGCTACTCCTTATAGCCACTAATTCAGTAACATTTTGTCTTCTGTTGTCTTTTCTCGTTGAAATAGAGACTCGTGAAAATAACCAAGTTAAAAATTTAATATACTTGATATACTAGATGCCAAGGGAGCATAAACACCATCTTGAATCTCCATCAATCGTTAGAACTAGGTAGCCATCTTTGAGTCTATAGCAATACGAATGCATGCACTTGCACTTTGAAAAATCCTTGTCGTTGCTCATCTTTATTGCTGCAAGTACGTGCATTGACAGCAAAATTAACAAATAGCCGACGATTGTACGGTAATATCACTGCTCAACGTGACTCGATATTTTCTGTTGTATGTTCTGCAGACGACGATGGCAGCAACGACGGCAGTTTGCTGGTATCTATCAGATTGAAATGAGTGATTATTCAAGCACAAATTTATCACGCAGTAGCGTTGTGTACTAAAGCATTGTACTGCACCACAGTCATGCTTACAAAACCACAAGAACTTCATCCGATGATGCCGCACACATCGTATAAAATGCAAAGGACCTACTACTCAGTTCTAGTAATTTTACACGTGTATTATATGTGAATGGATATCCACCCTGTGTGTATGTGCACAACTTGAGGGAGATCTGCGTACATTGAATATTGAAAGTTTGTAACATTTGTACCCAGCTATGAGTTCTAAGTTGATGGAACGGGTCACATAAGGTCATACAATGAATACGTCGCCGTAAAGAGAGAAAGAGAGAGGCAAAGAGGGTGAGAGAGAGAGAGAGAGAGAGAGAGAGAGAGAGAGAAAGAGAGAGAGAGAAATAGAGAGAGAGAAGCAGCTCTCGAGTACATATGAAGCAGTGATATATTCATTTCTTGTCGCTCCGTTGCTAAATCTGCCACCGAGTACTCGGGTGTAACTAGCCAAATCGTCCTTGAATGTACATCCGGAGATTATTTGTAGTCCGTTATGGCATCGCTCGAGCCTCGAGTTGGTTTGGGATATTATTTGTATATGTATGTCCAACGAGAGCTGCCAATGTGTAATACGTAACTACAAGTTCAAACGGAACTTTTGCGAGCTCGCTCATCGGTCCTTTGACACTCGTCGCTGAGGCAGACGAGTAAACCTGATTTTCTTACCTTGCATATATACTTTGGTTAAGTATATTTTCATAGTCAGTTTTAAATATATCTATTATTTATATGTATCTATTATCTTCGTGGTTATTAATTTTACATAATTGTTTATAAAAAAGTCAATGAACTTTCAAGTAAATCATTTGTTATAATAATAAAACTCGATAAACATTGATGTCGCTTTATCATTGAACTTATTTCAACGAATTTATTTGCAGTGATTAAATTTGCAGTCTAAGCTATGATATTCTCATTATTTATAGAGCACACGCATACACTTTTCATTTATAATATTATTATTTTCGTCTTTTCCGTGTGATGTCGATAACAAAAAAACATTTTCAAAAACATACTATCTCTTTAAAACTCACTTGTTGTAGAAATGAATAATTAAACATTTAAATTGATTAAGCAACTTTTGAAGCGTACGACACTTTAAAATTAAATTTATTCATCATATCATGCCGTGCGGAAGTGATTATGGTCAAAATACGTCGAGGAGTGATACGCGAGCGTTGAATCGTGGACAGGCGGTTAACCATCGAACCAGTCTCACCAAAATGGACTGTCTGTCTACTTTGTAATGTGTTGTACATGCAATATACATTCGTTCAATTTTGATACAGCAACTGGATGAAATTTAAATGCAGCGTAATAAGGTCTTTGACTACATACCCATTAATGTACTATAATATTATTATTGGCGTATGTAATCCGCGTAGGGATAATACCTAGTGCGCTGAATCAAACTTGAACAAGTGTATACAAGCCTGGTCGCAGTCTGTAAGAGCTGAAGAAACTAAAGTTTTCGTATGCAGTTCAGGTTAATCAAACTCATAAAGGTGGAAAAAATCGAAAATATCAAAATCAGAAATGCTTTTTTTTACCCCTTGTTTACGAACACGTGTAGATCACTGATTGCGATGTATATATTTTGGCTTTCATCGTTTATTGTAGACAGAAGCCGCTGATCTTGAGATAAGATTACGATTGAATATTTAGCCTTCTAGTAATACCAATCTACCAAACCTCGTTATAAGTGACGCAGTCTTTCTTTTAGATGTACTATTCTATTGTGTATTGTTTCATTTTTTATTACCAGTGCAAAATACCATGTACACAACGAGTGAAATTTGCTTATGTAAACTCAAGTCACCAAAGATTTTAGCAGTATTCGCTATTCTTTTAACAGTAATAGTGGGACTTATTATTTATTTAATTGTGTCCAGTGGTAAAGACATAATCATCGACCTACCATCCTCAACATCTACGAAGCCACCACCTGTGCTGCAGAAAAGTGGTTTAGTCGCAATCAACGAAGCCGGTTTATTTTTTAAGCTCGAACCTGAATCTGGTAAATATGAGCTTCTGTCCGACAAAAAGTTTTTCAACGTGACTGCTTTCGATATATATCGAAATGAAACGATTTTCTATGGAACCAGTGGAATAGAACCCATACGATCAATCTACAAAAGGTACGATAACATAGGAAACTTAACAAAAGATTGGACCAAAACAGCTTTGGCCATCGATCAAAGGAACGGTGATTTGTACGTTCTTGACAATACGCAGTATGTAATTCATGTAATCAATGTGAATGGTAGTCAGATGTCTCGTGATATCAAGATATTGAAAACTGCAAACGAGCCTTTGAAGGACTTGAAAATAGATATACAAAATAATTTCATCTTTGTTTTATCGAAAAAATCGGTACGCTTCCAATAACCTCGTGCTTTCATTTATGAAAATAATCCAATATTTTCGTTGCATGCTTCAGGTACAAATGTTTCACATGAATGGCACCGTCTTGAACAAGTATTCACTTCGTAAATCCATCGGGTCTATGACAGTAGACAGCGTAAACATGGTATTCTTCGTCACAACGAACTGTGGCATATTCAGTCAGCATTACATGGACGAAATAAAGCGCGTTAACGTTCTGAATCATCGCAATACGGTCGTGCGTCAGATCGTTTTCACCCGAGACGAAAACTGGAACGAGATACTGTATTGGATAAACGATGACCACTCTACACGTGAAAAATCATTTAACAAATGTCAATTAGTTCATAGCCGTTGCGATGAAATTAGAAAGATTGATAGTGACGATGACATTGCAACAAGTATGTTTATAACAAAGTGGCATCATTTCGCTTACGATGCTGGGATTAGTTTTTGATTTAAAGCCAAATCACGATAGAATAATATTTGACAACTTTGACAGCTGTTCTTATGTACTATTTAAGTCTTTCAAATATTCTCATATTTGAAACCGATTGATTTAGATATGTGTGCAGAAGCTATCAAATTCCTGATATTTTATAAGCAATATTGTCTGTCACAAAAGTATAAATGACATTGAAATTTTTTCGCTGACAGTTTTTTCGGAAGGCCTTTTTTCGAAGATAATCAAAAGTTTTAAATAGCCTCGTCGTAGTGCAGTTTCACCAAGCAGAAACAACTAAATGCTTGATAGGCTTATCGAAAAGTAATTCTTATCAATAAAGAGGTATTAAATGACTAAAGCAAGAGAATCTATTTTCGATGTGATTAGGCGGCATTTAGTGCATTTATGTCTCTTTTGAGACATCAACTCGATTAGAATTTTAGTGAGATATACGTAGAAAAATTTGTTAATATTGTTAGATAAAAAAATGATTGATATCAATCCGAAGAAAGTTAAATTAATTTGGCTAAGTGCGATCGTTGCTGTGTTTTTAATTATTCCTCTATCATTGTGTATCTGGTTTTTGACAAAGGAATGATTTTGCTGAAACAATTTTCGATTGCTCTAAAAAGATTTAGAAAAAACAAATTTCAATTTTATGAAATGAGTGTCAATTAATTTCCTATATTTATTTTAACCTTCAAAAAGTATTGTAGCTTTAATTATATAATACAAAAAATGTAATGATTCAGTCAAACTATGTATAAAGAAATATTTTAGTAAAACCAACAGAAATTATATTATTATATATCTTTATATATATTTATCCAAAGAATAAATAAAAATATCGCTTATCTAACAAGGATTAAATATGATTACGGTATTTATCGGCATGTTTAAAAATCCCAAAAAATCATAAATAATAATCTAATCTAACACTAGCAAATATTCAGTGTTTTGTTAAATTACAAATATGAAATGAATGAAATTATTTTTAATCGCCACTTTCAAATCTTTTCAGTTTTCAAATATCTATAATTTTCAGAAATTTCTGTAGCAACATGATTTATAGTAAATTTACTAGGGTTATTCACAAATAGAAGCAAACTCTTAATTAAAAAAATAAAAATGCCTGCATTTTTTCAGATTCATGTTCGCTTATAGAATCATGCATGGTTTTGGTTTGCTCTTCGTCCTTGCTCCATAACATTGACTTATCGCTTTCTTTAAAACTTTTTTGATCGTGAATTTGTCGTTGCAACAGATCTTTTAAAAGTTCTTGAGAAGATTCCTGCAACAAATTGGCAAGATTTTTAAATTCAAAATTAGAGTCTTTAATTTCATTATTTACATACCTTTGGATCATTAGTCAAGTAATTTATAAATGATTTGACACTGTCGAGGTGCATAATACCTTTCCAGATGGTATCCATAGACTCTAAATCTTCCGGTATGTGTGGACAGTTCAACCATCGATCGGTTAAAGAAGGACCCTGAGGTGGTGCGAATCTCAATTTGGTTGGTAATGTTCGACCAAAAGCGTGTGCTTTTTTAGGCAACTTTTCTACTCCTAAATCCCGAGCTATGAAACGACGAGTGGCCTCAAGCTCTCCGGCTTCTGGGCAGATGCGTATTTTCAACAATGGCATCGGCACTGTTGGTAGTTCTTTGAAAATAAACTTTAAAATAAAAGATTAATGTTAATTTTTGTTACGAGTAATTATGTCGTAAGTATTATATGCAACAACTTTACTTGGCTTGCTTTGCAAACTTCGGCTGAGAAATTTATCTCAAACATGTTGTTGAGCGTGTCTTCGTCAATAATTTGCTTATTTTTACCCAGCTCCTTTATCCAATCACAAAAATCTTTGCATATCTGGTTCATTAATCTTGCAGTACGCTTTTCTAGGGTTGCTTCAGGATTGTAGCCTTTCATGTCCTCTTCGCAAAGTGCTCGCCATACTACAGCCTCCACGAAAAGATATATAATTTTTTAATTTAAGGAAATAATTATTAAATATCGGTAATAAGCTTTTTATACCTTCCTTCGTGGTTTTCGCAGAAACATCACATATGGATTTTGAGTGCCTTGAGATTTTGAATTTGTTTCAAGTAAATCTCGTTCAGTGGGAGGTTGTACCTTAAAAGAATAAAGAATCAAGTAAGTTTTTAACATTTTTCATAGAGAACATTACATAAGCTATAATGAACGTACTATCATATCGAAAGTTATTTGTGAACACGTGTTCTCAGAGCCTTCACTTCTTTCTTCAATTTTTTCTTTGGCTTGTTTATCGACATGCTTTTGAGCATGTATTGGAAGACCCAGTATTGGAGCTATCAGATCATATGATTTTGGAGGAAGGATTTTCTTCAATTGACGGGAATTGGTAAGTGGAGGCTGTTTATGGGAAAATTCAAGGTCAGGACAAAATGTTTCGGATTTTAAAAATTTTTTTGATTGTATTAACAATTTAAATAAATTTAATCCTAATGACATTTTTTTTCTATCCTCAATAATTTTTAGTTTCTTACGTTTTTGCTCCATTTTTTGCACGAACTCATCAGCTAAAATGTTTAAGAGAATAGTTGGATCAAAACCCTGTTCAGTACATTTATTAATAATCGCGAGAATTTCTTGCTCTGTCACTGTTAAAAGAGGAGGACTTTCAGCCTTAAATATTGATGATTTTTTTATGTTTTCTTCATATTTTTCTTCATCTTGATTATTTTTATTATCCTTATCATCAACTTTCTCAAAGTCGATTTTGACCTCTTTATTGATTGTAGTAAGATCATGAGTTGTTTTTGATCTTTTCAAAAATCTTGTACTTTTCTCTAGCTCTACATTACTTTTTAAAGAAACTGGCATTTCCAACAGAGTTTTTGTGCGTACTAATATTTTCATCTTGTCTACTTTTTCTCGTCTGTCATTTTTTTCTTGTACAGGAATAACAGCTGCATCTCGTTTTTGTAATAAAGATTTACTAGAAATTACGATTTCATCGCCACTATCATCGCTACCTTCACTGGAAGCCGCAGTCAGTGCTGCAACTCTGGCTCGCAATGATATTGCTTTTTTCTGTTTTAAAGCACGAAGAGGTTCAAAAGGTTTCACCCATATAACCGGTGCGTGGCACGGAGCAAGATATTTTGATGGAGGTAGATTATCATCGTCTTGTTGTCGCGTTTCTTCAGAATCAGAACTATGATTACTTGGAGTGGAAGTCTTAGAGCGATCTGGAGATTGAGAAGTATTTGATTGATCAAAAAGGTGATGCTCTGGAGTCAATGGCGCTGATTTGGTTGATATTGAGGTTTCAGACGTGTTTTTTTGCGTTGATGAAATAGAACCTTCAAACGAAACTTTCATTTCTTTGGAATCATCGCATTTCTTTTTTACTTCGCTAAAGTCTGATAAACAAAGATTTAGTTTCATGTGATCAAAACGAGTTTCTGCCTTAATGTTGACATTTGGTAAAATTGGTTGATCTTCTTCAGTAGAAGTACTAGTTGTACTTTCAACTTCGATATGTTGTGAACAGTCAATAATAGATTTGAGTGTAGCTAAAGGTAACTCTCGTTTGATTTCATCTTTACCCTCAAATGGTTTGAACAAGCAAGCATAGCATTTATCTATATGTGATCTGTTAAAAACGTTGGTCAAAGGAATGCTTTGTAATGTGCTTGATGGCAATGAAGTGACCATTTTATTTTCGAAACCTGAACTTGGACCAGAAATGTTACGAGATTCAGTACAAATTGTGATGGATTTTTTTGAATCTACTTCCGTCATTGATCGTAGATAAGATTTTTGATAATTTTCGGTTTTTTCTCTCAGTTCTCTATTTATTTCTACAGAATCAATTGGTTTACTGTTATTTTTTAATCGACGAAATTTAAAGTCATTAGATTTGGATATTTCAGAATTACCAGATGCATTAGGTATGATAGTTGCTTCTAAAATATCGTTGACTTCATTAAACATTTTAGAGTATTGGCATTTTGTAATTACATCTAATGCTTTATGAAAAAACTTTTTTTTAAAATCTTTTCTGCTAGTTAATTTTTTATTTAAAATTTCACTGTTATCAATTTTATTATCAGTATAACTGACTGGTGACTTTTCACTTTCTGAAGAATATTTTGTTTCGTAAACTATAGATGGATTTTTACAACTGAAACTTTGTTCTACTATCAAAGAATCATCTTCCGTCGTTAATGATACATCTGGAGATCCCTTTTTATCTTCTTTGTCTGAATAATCTGTCGATAACAAATTTTGGGAACTTGGCTGAGAACTTATCAATCTTGATTGCTGTTCTTTGAGAAAATATTTTTCTATACTTTCATCAATTTTATCGCGTTGATACTTATTTTCAATCGATACAACGTCTAAATCGAAAGACTGAGTCCCCGAAGAGCTATCGATTGTTACAGTTTTCGCAAAACTTGGCATGAGGCTTGCCATTCTTAGCTTCGGTGCTTTAGATCTCTGTGGTTCTTTTTGTGGACTTGACTTTTGACCTGTATTCAAACACGCAAGAGATGCTGAAGCTGATTTGATGCAAACCGATTTTCTATGTTCGCAGAGAATTTTTTTTTCAGTTGCCACAATAGGCAGTTTAGGAATGGAACTTTTTGTTTGTAAAAATTGAGGAATTTCATTAATAGGTATAGTTTCGAATTTTACTTTATGCCGTGGACAAGTTTTCGTAGTATACACCTTTATTGGCTCATAATTCTCCTGAATTTCTGTTTGAATCTTATTAGAAATAGGTAATTCTGTATCCAAGTCGGAAAAACGAACAGACTTTTGTTTTATAGCACTTGAAGGAATTTCTTTGTCAAAGTCTTGAACAGGTTTTAATTTATATTTTTGTGTATTTTTAATGCTTTTTAAAGTAGATGTTTCATATTTACGATTGTGAGGTTGTTGGTTTTTAAGTATTGGCTGTATAGAAGTAAAAGAGGAGGAATGAGGTTGGCTTACTTTTTTGTATTTTTTTTCTATTTCGGCACATATGCCATCCCAGTACGATTTCGATGATGGCAATGGACTTTCCCATCTTAAAAAAATAAATAAATTCACGAATGTTTTTTTTCAGTGATATTGTTTATTAACCTCTAATTTTGATAAATCAAATGAAAAATATTTTTGGATAGTGATTTTAAAACCAAATGTTGAAGAAAATGGAAAAAATTAAATTTCTCTATTTTTATGCAATTTCATATCAATGCAACGTTTTTTACATCAAATCAAACTTACTTTGATAATTTGAGCGGTTGAAACCATTTTTCGCTTCTACCAACGCAGTAAGATTTTTTGTTTAATTCGCACATTTCATTTCAAATGTAAATCCTTCAAGTCTTGAAAGAAAACCAAATGATTTTTATAATTCAGATTTTTTAACAACTTTTTAAACTTTTGAATTTAAATGACCTATGGTTACTGCAACACATTGTACAGCTATCCCAACCTAATTTTGAGTTTTATCTAAAGTATTGATCAAACAATATATTTTGCCTATGTGACTCGACTTATACCCGGAGGAATACTTTCCAGCTTTCCAGCAGTTGATAATACTTTTACCTATAGAAGATAACATGGATAAGTATTAATTGAGGCTGAGATATAATGGTGAAATTTGTAAAGTGCTTAAAATCTAGAACAAAAACCATTAAAATTTCATAAAATTTGATACAGTTTTGCAATCCCAAAATTATTTTGAGATTTGTTCAGCTATTCAGAGATTCATCGATACGATCATAATCTTCATGTTTGTAACTATAAAATGTGGCAGTATTATTCTAAATGACTTGAAATTTGATTTTACCCATTTTTATTATCAATCGTATAAAAACGTACTGTGAGTGGTACAAGTAGAAAAAAATCACACTCTAAAATTTTAGAAAATAATTTAGGAAATATAAAAAAAAATAGAATTATACATTATACATAGAATAAAATTTATAAATAAAAATGCCTTACTGGTCTATTACCTCTCGAAAACGTTAGTTTTCGAGTTTACCGACGGTTGTATCTTCAAGCACTTCGAGCTACATGTAATGCAAACGATATTCCATAGATGACCTTGTCGATTACTTTTGGAGTAAAATAATATAAATAATTTATATAGAAAAAAAAATGTAATATTGCATTCCACAGAGTGCTTCGTTGTCTAGGTTCATGAAATAACAAATTTTATAAAAAAAGGCGGAGTATTCTCTGTGATTCAGTGTTTATTTTTTGTCAGTGTATTCATTCCAAATACATCGAATTTCTTAACTCAATTTTTAGAACAATATCTTTCAAGATTGAAATGACTATGATTCGAACTTTCAACTTAATACATAAATGTAAAACATATATAATACATCACTTCAGTAATTTATAAATTTATAAAGTAATTAAAATCAAGCGTTAGATTTTTAATGTTATCATTACACTTGCTTCACCGAAAGAAGTGATATATACACTACTCAACAAAATTATCGCATCGATAAATTTAATCAAAATTTTGTAAATTTTTAAATACTTCTATCTTGGTCTATTTTCATCGTATTGGGACGAATTTTTTTTTGGATTTTTTGTCTTCTTTACATCAATATATATTATGTATAGGTTTGAGTTAATACCGAGTACGTACGTAAAATCCCTTGTTTAGCTGAAACGACTCGATTTTTTGGGCATTTTGCGTACAGAAAAGTTACCTTTCAAACGACCTACAGGGCGCAAAAATTATCCTTAAATATCTGACTAAGAATTCAATATTTAAGTCAATTTAGCTCCGACTGGACAGAAATGTTGACAGGACAATTGTACGATACTTTTATCTACGATACTAAAAATTGTCTACGATACTAAAAATTGTCTACGATAATTTTTCCTCGGTCATCCTGTTATCCTGCGGTAGGCAGGATATTTCCGGATAAGATCATCGAGAACCAAAAATTCGACACACTTCTCAAAATTTGTATTCTTGGCTAGTAATTGAACGAAGAAAAATTAAAAAAAATAAAATTTCATGATTTGGCACGAGGTTAAATGATTTTTTTATCCATATTAGGCAAAAACACTCACATACTAAGCAAAAAATGGATAAAAAAACATTTAACTTCGTGCCAAATCATCAAATTTTATTTTTTTAATTTTACTTTGTTCAATAATAAACGAAGAATATAAACTTTTAAAAATATGTGGAATTTTTGGTTTTTGATGATCCTGTCAGGGTATATCCTGCCTACCGTAGGATAACAGGATGACCGAGAAAAACTAATGGAAAATAAACAATTAGCAATATTTTTGATAAGAGATTGATAGAGATAAAAAAGATTTATTAATGATAGAGAGATTGACTTTTGATAATATTTTTGATAAGAGGCAATATAAAAATTACCATAGACATTCCAAATCTAAAGCTGAATTTTAAAAGAGTGAAACATTTTCCATTAAACTGTATATATTCAAGTCGATATTGAATTATTTTAGCAAAAGATATACTGTTAAAAACAATCAGTTTAAAAATCAAAACTACTTTATTGTAGTACTTTTTATAGTACTACGAATATTATAAATTAATTTTTTTAATAAAACATTTTTTTCGGAAAATAAATAAAAATTTAAATAAATTTTGGTCAGCATGAGTGACCAGCAGTATTTTCAGCAACATCCAAAGAAAACGTTTGAGAGTTGAACACTTGACGCACATCATATTTCCGGCATTTCAACTGCGACTTTTCCTGTTTATACCTGATGCTGCCCTTTGAACCTTATCTTCAATTGCCCACAAAAATAATAAAACCTTGAAATATTAATGATGTTAATAATCAATTTTAAATATCTGAATATGTATAACGTAAAATGGTAGTTTCAGGCTTCGTAAAAAATACATTTTTTTACTTTTTGCATTTGAAAACTAACTCATTGATTGTAAGTAAGATTTTCATTTGGTTTGTACTTCATATAAATCAATTATTTAATATGATGAAATTCCAAGTATTTTTTGCAAAGGAATGTTTTCTGTGTCTGACCATCGACATCTTTGGATTAAATCATTATCATTAAAAGTAAGCTCAAATGTAGTGTCACTAATGTGATAAGATTTTGACTGTTTAATAAAGCAATCATTCATTGATTCCTCGAATGATTACACACATGGTGAGTGAAAGGCCTCACTGGAGAATTAAGAATCAAATTTACTCCTAAGTTATGCGTGTGTATACGAGTGTAGCAATTGAATGATTTCATTTCATTCTATTTCAATATTTTCCTATTTGAAGAGAATATAATTGAAAAATTATGTAATGAAAATGCTTGTAACATAATATCAAATATTATTATCGTTTGCATTTCAAAAATACCTTATATAAAAATATTGGTTGTAAGAAAGCTAACATAAGAGTAATTTCCATGAAAAAGCACCTTACGTAAGTTTTCTTATCTTTTAACTATTAAGTAAGTAATGGTAAAAAAGTAAGTTCAGGGTTTATTTTGCTTAACAGTGTAATATCTTGAAATATTAACAAATCAATATAATGATACCAGCAGGTATTATTAGTCTTAAAATTAGTGTTAGAATTGTGCCAAAGAAAACTATTTTTCTCACAATAGTTTTCACGAAAACTATGACTACTCAATTGGCTATATTATGTAAAAAGAAATAATTATAAATATATTTATAATAATTATAAATATATTTAAGAGTAATTGTTTTCGTTGTCAGTCAACGCAAAAAAATTTTTTTTCAAGGAATATATTTGGCGATCATTGTGTTCTTGGATAGAAACTCTGAAATTACCATTTATGATAACACATATATGTTACAGTACTTTTTTTGACCAAATTAGTTGTGTTGTTGATGTTTTAGTAGAAAGCATCGAGTTATTTCTCACGAACAAAATTTAAAATCCAGTCTTTCGATTATGGTGCAGTTGAAAATCGGTAACTCTTCAAATAAAAAATGTACTTAAAAAAATGTTTTATAATTTATGAAAAAAAGACCAACATCCTTCTGACATTAATCTTCTTTATTTAATTACTGTTGAGAAATTTAGTTTAAAATAGGATATAGTCGTTGTTTGGAACCCTTCTAAAATGTTTTCAACACTAAATCAGTATTTTCAACTACATTTCCGTACGATACGTTGCATGAAAAATAGCTCCGCGTGCGCCGACCTGACCTCATACATCTCGGTATCTTTAATACTTCTGATTATTTCTCTATTCTGGAAGATATTGTTTTCCATAAATTTTTGTCCCTTAATATCAATGATTCTTTTATGGGATCAGTATAATGAAAATTGATACGAAAAGGGTTGCACTCAATAAATACACTTTCGGAATACATGAAACAATTTTTTATTCGTATATAAGAATTTTTAAAAATGAAGCAGCTGATCGAAAAGTGTTAAAAAAATAAGAGGGGTTTGTTTTGACTGATGATTTTCATCAAACCAGACACTTTTTATGACTACAGCCGGGGCAAAATTCTTGAACTATCCTGGCGACCCAACCGAGCGGCGTTTTTAAGCAAAATATTTTAATTTCTAACTCGCCAGGAAAGTTACTAAACATCCTTAGCAAAAGTATGTGATATAGGGTTTCGATGTCAAATTACCTCAGCTTTCTGAGTGAGGTCAAATTTTCTGAACTTTTTCATTTTCCCGGGAAAAAATTGAAAAATATATTCCAAAGTTGAATATCAAAAAAAGCAACGTTTTTTTTTCTTTTTTTAATTTTTCCAATCGAAAGATGAGGTTTTTTTACGTCAAAAACACAATTTTTCAAAGTTCATGCAACAGTCGAAAACAACTCCTAAATGAGTCATCTTCTTCACGCACTTCTTACATAATATATTATTTTAACATTTTGTGCGTAAAACGTGGTTTTTGTATCACTGAAAGGTTAGAAAAGCTATGTTTTACGCATGGTGTGTTAAAAAAAATTATTCATATTGAATCTCAAAGGAAAATGCACGCATTCCTGCTTTAGTACGTTTTAAAAATTTTATTTAAAATACTTATACTACACCCATAAATACGTTAACTCGTCTACAATTTATATTTATATGAATTTATAGGTTTGCAGACAGTCCGTGTATAGAGTCCATAACTTTACCAAAGCTTACAGACTCGCATGCGGACTTGCGAAACGGAAATGAACCACAAAATTGCCACAGCGAGCAGCTCTGCTTTTCGCGACTTACTTCGGTGTTTCTAATTTGAGCTTCATGCAGTTCAGATGTTTATGGAGACATTGAGTCTATACGTGGCTACTTTTGCTGATTCAATCGTATATATATGTGGGGGGTATTTCCTACTCCTTACGGAATACCTCTACGTCAAGATCCTCGAAATACTTGATTTATTTTTGGTATCATTTTTGCGTAAAACTTATCTCGTACTACGATATAGTGTACGAAAAGCTCATTTTCTCGTCGCCCTTCTCTCTGTCGTTGGCGTCGTTGGCGTCGTCGTCGTTAGAGTTAGCATGTCTTGAGGTGAATCATATGATTCGTTGGTGAAATGAATAGTAGGGAAATGGGAAAAGTTTTATAAACAGATCATTCGCTTGGAAAATATACTGGCATAAACATTACAAAGCACAGTTAGTGCGAGCTTGCGAAGTATTTCACACGTATATGCGTGCACATAAAACGTACGTCTGTCTCTTTCACTTGCTCGTGTGCCCCCGCAAGAATTATAAGTACCCACCAAAAGAAAAAGAATCCTGTAAAAATACATTATGATCCATTAAATAAGAAACTAGCAAACAACAAGAACAACAAGCGAGTGGAGGTCGTAAGAACACATGTGTGTGTACAGTGCATGCATAGAGGGTAAGGTGCGGAAAGCTTCTGCAGCTGTCGAGGCATGCTACAACTCGCAGCGCGTGGCACATAATTCAAGCCGATAGCATCGGAGCAGTAGCAGCAGTAGCTGCATGTGTTGTAGCGCATATAGTAGCAACTCCAGTTTAAGGCGTGCGTACTTTACCGATTTCCTCTCTTTCTCTTTCGCTCTCTATATATGTTGTTAGTGCTGTTGCAAGCGCGTGGGCAAAGACGTGCCGGTATGCGCACAGGGCTATACGCGGGCAGGGCTTTAATTTAACTGCGTCAGGCATATTAAGGATACTAACTCTCGCTACGAACAGCGAATAGTAGTGGTAGTATAGTAGTAGGCGTTCATTGGTACGTTCTTGCGCAAACTGTCATCCTTACGAGCTCGTGTGTATGTACGACACATATATGTTCGCACTCTCACTCACCCAGTGGTACCGGCAGAAGCAAGCCGTCTTATGAAATTCTACATCAAGTTTAGAGTTGAGAGGATGGAGTTAGAGGACAAGAGCGAGAGGAAGAGAGAGAGAGAGAGAGAGTGGCCCGGTGCTTTTGCAAAGGGACAAGCAATTTTGTGAGTATATACTTTCCATGTCTACCGAGCTATGTGCAGAGGAAGCCTTGACTCAACGCCAGTATTCTTGCAAAGTTTTATTTAAACTAAATAATTTAGGAGATGAGTTCTATTAAAATTGCTCTTGAATTATTTTGGAACATTTCGAGCAACACAAGAATTTTAATATTTTTGTTGTGAACTACTTGGCAGCTTTAGAACCGAATCTTTCTATACATTACATGCCTTAGTGACAAATCGACATTTTCTTCATTCTGACAAGCTACGGTCGTGTATATGTGTATCAACGATTCGTGGCTCACGCGTGAGAATGGGTGCTGATTGGCTTGCAAGTAAACGAAGTTAGTGGCACCTAATCTTGTTTCCGACAGCGTTCACGTGTATTTGTACGTACACAAGACGAGGCCGAGGACGACGCCCCACACGTTATACCAAATTCGAGACGTGCTAGCAGGTGCGACAGCGGTGGCTTTGCCAATCGCTTTAAAATTAAGAGCTCAGAAAAGTTCTAATTACTTGGTTCGTTGTGAATAAGCATTAGTTGACACTTCTCTCTTTGCAATTAGGCCGCAATTCCTCTGAACACAGAGAAACACGTTATGCGCTTCGAATTGTGTACTTTCTTTACAGTCTTATCAAACGTTGTTACTATTGTTGTTTTCAACAATTCTCTCTCTCATTCTCCTTACAAAGTTACTGCTACACGAAGCTATTGCTGTCGATTTTTCTTTAAGTTCTTTGACTAACATTTTTAATCTCGTGTATCAGGTAAATTTTTTTCTCATCAGCCGAATAGAGAATCTAGTTGAAATGCCCAATATATAGTGAATAACCTAAAATGATGATGGATCGTCAATATACTCGGGTACGTAGTTCTAGTCAGAGCATACCAAGACGAATTAACGATGATTGATTTGTATTTTTTAAAGGAATTAGGAGCTGGATTTCTCTTAGGACTTAGTTTTACGATTTAAATGAATTTTTTTCTTGCCTTTTTGATGTATTATATTTTGATATTTTTTGATATTATGGCAAAATAAGTGTATATGTTTGCAAGGTAATGAACTTACTCGTAATATACATCGAATATTGTGAATCATTCAGCAATTTACGTTGTAAAAAATGGTTTGACTGATTATGAGTACGTAAAATTTAAGAACACTAGACTGGAACTTAACTTAAAAAATTGTTTTCTTTTGGTGCTGGCCAACCAGAATAATAATTTATGTACCAAGAAAATAGTTTGTGCAACATTTCAGCCCTAAAAAATCGAGTTATCCCGTGCCACCAACCGATTTTTTCTATTTTTTATATCATTCATACATCACTTTTCTGTTTGATCCAGACCAAAAGAAAAAAATTTGAAGTTCTAGTCTAATGATCAAATCATTACGTTTCATATTTGTGTTCGTTATAATAAATTTTATACACTAAAATATTTACTCGTTTGTGTAAGTTGAAACAAAGTTTTGTGAATTGCTGTTTTAAAAAGTTTTAATTTAGCAAGGTCAGTTTACCAAGAGTTTATTTTTTTCGCCCAGAAAGGGATTAAAAGGAACAGGAGTGAAAAGAAAAGTTGAGTATAGAAAGGCGAAAGCAATGCCACCTATTCACGCTTAATCTTTCGTAAAATACTTTGAAAAACTTTTTCACTAGTTTTCTAATGCATGCTCTGCTCTGTCGCTCGCTCTCTCTCTCTCTTTCTGTCTTTCTCGCGTCCCCTATCCGAATAGCGAACCTGAATTCAATTATGTGTAATGGAAAAGTAGTTAAAATACATGGGAGTTAATCTTCTTTAAGTTAATCGTACGTATACGCTCACATATAAACATTTTGCCAGTTTCCGAATGAAGCGTAATTTAATATGCATAACTGCTATGTTGCTTGAATTTCGACTCGTAACAAAACGAATAGTGAACATTAAATCCTCTTTTGCAAGTTTACGCTAGTGACGAGTACGAATCTTTAGAAAGATTCTTAACAAGGTGAACTTTGACGCATATTTTCTAATTAAACATTAAACATTGCCAAGTACAAGTCAGCAGGCAGTCAGTTCTTTTGATTGCATTTCATGCATAACACGCTTCGATTCGTCGCCACCGAACGTAGCGTAACCTCCTCTCGCTCGGCTCGTGTTATAACAATCAACTGGATATTACGGTTCGCTCAATGGCAAGTTGTACGAACGACGTGTAATGTCTCACGCCAAGCGCGTGCGCTCGCGTTTACAGCTAAACTAGGTATAAAAGCCTTGTAATACCAGTGCAGACGTATCGCATGAATAATTAATGACCTTGGCTGCGGAGACTCGTCGCGTAGCTGCTGTCAGACAGCACTGTCAGTGCACCCTTTGCTTGTAAATCGGTCTGACGTGCATGACGAGTTGTGTATAGGATATCTTCGGTCAGTGCTGACACATTTGAAGAGAGCGGAAACTAATTTTAGGAAGTATAAGGAATAAGAAAATGTGAAAGGAGATTTGTTCAAGCCCTTGCACATCCTCCCAACATAGTAGTCGAATATCAAATAACAAAGTGTCATAATTATATAAATTATATTAGTTCATAATAAATGTATTATTATTTGTCTTCCATTTATTTCATAATTCAGTTAAAGGCTTTATTTAATGAACGTATTCAAAGTCTGTTTTTGAAATTCTCAAAAGCCCGATGTGATTTCCATGTTGACATCTTGTAATGGTCGACGACATTAATGGTGTGGTCTCTGACTATTTCTAAATCCAGAATCGCGGGGATATTCCTGTGGATATGAATGAGGAAAGTGTTCAAGTGAATGATTCGGAAGATTATGTGGAAAAGACGGTGGGCTTAAATCTACATAATTCGGTGGATGTGGAGGAGCGTAATGTAGATTCATTCCTGGATGATGATGAGGACGATGAATATTACCTTTGAACAAACCAGCCCATGATCTAATAACAAATTTTAATATTATTCAACTTATAATTTCTAAAAAGAATTAAAAATGTTTAGATATAGTACCTGCGAGGGCCTTTTAACCAATCGTCTTTGATCATATCACTCCCCAACTCGGCAATCGCGAGTGTTGGAGCATGAGTATTACCTCTCGTTAATTCAGGCATTATTGATGCATCAATTACCCTTAAACCTTTCATTCCCATTACCTTCAAAGTAGAATCAACAACAGCTGACTTGTCATTCAATGATCCCATTTTGCAAGTACCAACGAAATGATAAATGATTCCAGTATAATTTTTTGCTAAGCATTCGTAATATGGGTCTGTGGCATATTCCAATTCATCACAATGTGGATATGGAATTCTTGTAGCTTCAAAGCCGGCTTCTTTGAATGCTCGAGTTTCAGTCAGTAATTTTGTTAAACGTGCACCCTCAGCCACAACTTTAATATCATGAGGATTTGAAAAATAATTGGCATGAATTAAAGGTTGCTTATTCAGAGGATCGCTTGGATCCAGTTTTAATTCACCACGACTTTTTGGGCTAAGTGCGAGCGTTGTTAACCAGAACCCATCGTAATATGGAAGAAGAACGCGTGGTCCATTGATATCTTGATCATATTTATACTTAAGATAACCAACTTGAATGTCAGGAAGGTCAGCTACTGGTTCGTAACGTGTTTTCAAAAATGCTATGTTATCCATGAATGGGTTAACTGACATAGGACCTTCATGAGTATTCATCCAATGAATTAAATCGTTTTGCATAGTACTAACATTGAATGGTTTAGAATTTTCAGGAACTTTAACGCTGATAGGAGTAATGGAGAAATGATTCTGTAGATTTTTTCCTACTCCTGGTAGGTCATGAATAAGTTGAACATTTGATTCCTTAAGAGTTTCAGCAGGCCCGATTCCAGATAACATAAGTAATTTCGGAGAATCTATAGCACCTGCAGAAAGAATGACCTCTTTTTTAGCATTGGCAACTTTCAATTCTCCATTAACTCCTGCGTATTCAACTCCAGTAATAGTTTTTGTAGTAGGATCTATTATCAGTTTCGTAGCCTTTGAATTCGATCGGACAATAAGATTATGGCGTGTTCCACGAATGGGGCGAATGTAAGCTCCATTTGAGCTTTGACGAGCTCCGTGAATAGTAGCATATTGCATTCTAGATGTCCCTAAATTGTTGCCAGAATTGTAATCAATTTCTTTTAAACCAACTTCATTCCAGCCGGCCATAATAACTTTAGCATTCGGATCAAAGCTAGAAGCTCCTTCAATGGTTTGATATCCTCCTACGCCATGACTATAAGGGTTTTCTGCCATAACCTAATAATAAAACAAATCCATATATCATCAATAAAAAAATTAGGTAATAAATTAAATAGTATGTTACACGTGGAATCCTTAAATCTTCGGATCTTTTGAAATAGCTCAAAATATTGGGCCAAGTCCATCTTCCATCTCCAACTTGATTAGCCCAATTATCATAATCCCATTTATTGCCTCGAACAAAATGCATACTGTAAAATACACTAGAACCACCCATCACTTTACCACGTGTCCACGAACATTGTCGATTTGGTTGGTTCATGCATGCTTGTGGTTCTGGTTGAGTAGTATAACCGTAATCTAAATTCGTTCCTCGTAAATAAGTGACCAAACCAGGAACATCAGCATATGCAGGTTCTTCATCTCCTGCTTCCAGTAGAAGAACCTAAAAAATATTATTTTCGTTAATAAGTTAAACATTTTTCTATTTATTTACATTATTTCGTACTAATGTTAATCTTTTGGCAAGTGCAATTTTCATTTATTTTCTTAAAGTTAAGAAATATCCAATGCTTGTAAAATCGTAAAATGTGAGCTTAGAAAAAAAAATGCAAATACGTTGGCAAAGGCCTCCTCCTAAGAAAGATCCCATTTTCATGTATAAATGCTTATTAAATAGGAAATTGTTCAATTTTTATATTATAAGTAGAAGTGAAAATAGTTTTTCACTAAAAATTCGACAAATTATGAAATTTTCAAACTAAAGAATATAACGGAAAAATTACTCACTCTCAATTGTATATAATTATCATTATATAAAATTATAATAATCACCACAATGTCAAATAAGATTAGAATTGTGACTAAAAATGAAGGTCATTTGTCAACTATTCTTATTAATTATAATATGATGCATGAAATCGCCAAAAACATAGCCATTTTTCGACGTTTGTTGCATGTTTTTCGACGTATATTTTTGTCTATAGTGCGTTATACTTCAAGGCCCATTACTAAACTTTATCAAGCAGTACTTGACATCTTCAGGGAGCTTTTTACATAGTTTTATAGACGATAAACCGGTTCGAACTCGATTAGATATCGTGTTTTTTATTTTTTTCAAGTTATTTAGACTCTACAAGCTCTCAGATTGCTCCAATCACTTTGGAATATATTTTCTTAAAAATTTAGACATTTCCAACAAGGAAAGCTTATTGACATTTCTACTTTTGAGTCATTCTACACTGATATGGGAATTATTTTGATATTTGCGATTTTTAATGAATTTCGGAAAAATGCTAAAATAGCCAACTGTGGGACTCTGAAAAATGTCATAGAAGGCCCCAATTAGTCCAAAAATTTTTTGGGGCAAATCTGACATCGGAAACAACAAGTTTTTCATATTAACAAAAAAAAAAACTTTTTTTGATGTCCCACTTCACGGAAAATAGGTCATATATAAATAAAATTATCCAACGACACCAACTTTAAAAACTCATTTTTACATTTATCTCAGAGTTTCTATTATCAAGAAACAAAATTAACTAAATAGAAATTGTATAGTGCTTAATACCTGAAGAACATAAATTAGTAATTTAATTAATAAATGAATCGTTAACACCTACTTTGAAACTTTTTTCTTCTGACAAGCGATTAGCAACAACACATCCGGCACTTCCAGCGCCCACAATTACAAAGTCAAAATCGGTAGATCCATCATCGAAACCCACGATGTGTGAATCAAAGGAAGTTCCCAAATATTGTGCCAGTAGAGTTAAAAAGGTCAACATAGATGCATTGCACTTGCCAGGAGCGCAAAGAGCTCCGTTGTGCGTCCAAACCATCGTACTTTCGCCAATTTACTGCCTGAAACTTGAGTTAATTTAGCAACTTGACTTAAAAAACGTTGGCTCTTTCTTAATACGGAAGCAAAAAAATTGTGTCAATAGAAGAACAACTCGTTTGTTTTTTTTTATCGATTTCGATGAAATGATAAGATACTTATCAATATATACGTTCTTATAGACATTTTAGTTGCTAATGAATTTTTAGTTACACCCGATAAAAAAAGTTATAAATATGTTATCTTAATAATTATAACTAAGTCGTGTTAAATTTAAAAAATGTAAGAAAATTATATTTTGACATTTTTGTAAATTCATGTATATTTTAATTGATTAGATTAAGTTGCAAAACATTTTAAAAGTAAATTATCAACTTTCTCTAGAGAAAAATTCATCATTTTACAAGAGATTTTCAATTTATTCGAAAAATTGCATATTACAGAATATCATTTTTTGATTAGGATTTCCTAATACAAAATAATATTTATGTAACTCTGACTCTGTTATCATCTTAATTTAATTACATTGCTTAACTATAAGAATGACTCTTCTTTTTTTTTAAATTTATTCGGGAAATGTAGTTACATAATAATTATTTGGTTGACATGTATCACTAATGTTATTGACAGTATATTAATCTATGATAATGAATCATTGAATTAAAAATCTCAAGGTGTTTACTTAAACAATTCATAAACCGTAAATAATTCACGAACGGAATTTTGAAAAATAAGTGTACTCACTTTTACTTTGTGTTCAATTCATCCAATAAATCAGGCAGAATAATGTTGGTTGAAGTAATAAAATCATCAAAATTAAAACTAAATTTTTTTACAAATATATAAATTTAGGGAGAAAGATAGAGAAATCTGAAGCCACCGATAAAATATTCTGTACTCTTGAAATACGAGTCGCTCAACGGCTGCAACGACTCAACTATCATACTAATCGATTCATGCAACCACGGAGTTCCGCTGGCATCCTTGAGAGTAATAATTATTTGAGCATATTTTTTTTATTAGGAACTGCATGAATCGTTCATTACATACATTTTTATTAGGTATTGCAAGCTACAAATTTATGCCGTTTATTAGATGTTATTAAATTGTCTATGCATTTACCCGTAAAATACGTTCCTATTTAACTACACGAATAATTATTTTACATTTCTCGTAGTGTCAGTCGAACGTTATTTTATTTTACAAATTAAATATGAAAATATACATACTTTTGTAACATTGCTGCAGTTCGCATTTATATACAGATTAAAGAGCCACAATGATGCGAGGTCAACAAGAGTCGACGAAATAATAAAAACTGTTGGTTTATATGTTAAATGTCGGCTTTAAGATGCAACCAGTTAAACGTGTTATACACAAATAAGTAAATAAAACTGTATATGAATCTGTTTTATAGGGTGGGAAGAGTCCACAGACCGGTTTGACCATGATGTCGACTTCTATAGGACTTTGGAAAACGATACGCGAATCAGACAACACGTATGTTTTAACGTACAAGTCCTTCTTAAGCAGACATTCTAAAAAACCAATGACTAATTCTTCATCGTCAAGAGTATGTTCTCAGATCAACAATATATTGCAAAAAAAGACAAAAAAAGAATAATCCTAATAATTATGGAAATAATCAACGTTTATCACGAAGTTTATAAATAAGGTGACTTAAATCCATTTTCGGTCGTCATAGCCTTGACATTTTTGAAAAGTTTCTTATATTTGAAGGAGCACTAAGCGGATAAGAGGATTTTTGACCATGATAATAAATAGCCAGAAAAAAATTGCTAAATAGCTAAAAGTTTTCTATCGAAAGAAATCTTTACAAATTTTGACAGCCGAATTTTGATAATAGTTAGGGCATCTTTTTATTAACATAGCATAGATCTTCGAAAATTACGTAGCGTGAATTTGTCGTTATACTTATTCTTACCTTGAATGCGCAAAATACTCTTTTTCTCCGAGTCTCCTTTCGTTGTGAAAGTTTTCAAACGTTTCGAGTCAAAAGTTCGGATGCAAATGAACGGATATGTATATAGATACATACGTATATATACGTATCTATACGTCTATAAATATATATATAAAAGAGACACATGCACACGCTGCGAACTTGGTTATATAGCAAAGCTCATTCAAACTCTTTGAATTTGAGAGGGCTGCTGCAACCTAGTCGCAGGTGACTTTTTGGTGCAAATTAAGACCTCTAATTTAACGGTAATTTTTATCAAGTCGCCTGATGTGCATGTATACAGATATACGCATGCAATGCAGACGCAGATCTTTAAAACGAAGAAGCGAGATACTTCTGGATCTAAAGAAAGAGAAAGAGCAAACGACATGCATTATGCACACCACCGGCTGTGCAGCAACATTCAGTTCTAAAAGTACTGCAGCATCTTGAAAGATGAACCTTACGGGTTTCTCTTTCGTTTTATCTATCTTTCCCACCCTTCGTATTCTAGGCTAAATGTGAATTTTCCGTATATGTAGACAACTTTTTGGTAAGTTTATACTGCGCGCAAAGCTCTTCGGATAAATAATTTCATTTCCAAAACAAATTCTGCTCACAGAGCTAAAATTTCGCTGATGCCGTGCTTGACCTGCTCCTTTAATAAGATGTAAAAATACCACGTTATTAATTTATTTCTAGACTACGATTCTTAGCATAAAAAAAAATAAATAAATAATAAGGGATAGAATAAAAACACACTGTACAGGAAACTTAATGCTTATTTTTTCGACGGTACACTAAGAGAAATGGCTTGGAAAAAACGCGCATAATAAAAATTACTATAATCGATAAAAAAGTAGAACCATATTTAACACATTATGAAGTTTGTTCAGTAGTATAGAAAAGTAAATTAAGTAATTAATTTCCGTCACATATTACAGATTTTATCAGCCCCTAAATGAAAATTTTTATTTCATTTACTTATGTCAGTTTTGTTCGAATACTCGCAGAGTGATGATATGATGTTTGACTCGCTCTTGATCATTAAGTGATGCGAAGAGTGTTTATGAGGGTTGAATAAATTATGGCACAAAGTCAGTTAAAGGAGAAATAATGAACTTTGTATGAAAAAGTGTTTCTACTAAAAATACAATTAACTAGAAAAAACATGTTTTTTTTTTATGAATTTTACATGTTTTTAGGTCTTTCAGGGGAAAAAAGTTTTATTTTGATTTAACAATGAAAATAGTTCAATTTTGAGCCTAATCGATGGATACGATATACGAACACATTTATTTTTCATGCTACCCCAGCCGAAACTAACCTTTTTGGTCCCTGCGGCCAAAACCATAAAATTAATTTCTGCTGACGAGATTTATGAAAAATACTCGGCTTCTTCGTTAATTACACTTGCTTGAGGTTAATTGAGGCTTTCGAATTTGTCGCTCTTTAGGGACGTACGATACTATTTCGACATTTATATTATTTTTGATTTTCGATGGGGTTTTAATGGGTTTTTAGGTTACAAATATGATTTTCGACAAAAAAATCTAAATTCTTCATCAAATTACATCAAAAACCATGTTTCAACACTTTTAGTTGCATCTCAGGATAGCAGAATCAAATATCAAAAATGAATATTCAACTTGGAGCCCCTGTAGACCCAAGAGAGATGGACCCAGAGGACTTAAATTTTTATTTTTTAATATACTCTGTAAAAGTACATATTTAGTTTCTATTGCATTCTTTCAACAATTAATTCTTCAATGATATAGCCCGTATATTAACCTAAAATGCATGTACACGCATAATGTCCTTGAGTGCAAAAAACTCTATATATCGATATATTTCTTTCTCGAGAAGTTTGTTCGGGAACCTCCTGAACTGAAGATGGCTAAAATTCATGGATTTTTTTATAGAATATACGTCTTAAAAGAAATTTAACGCCAATTCCAATTATATCAAGTTTATAATTGAAAATTAAATTGTATTTTGACGTGTCTCCAAGTGAACTACACATTAGAATCATTTCCAATTGAAAAAGTGATAATTGATGAGATCAGTTTGGCTGACAAGAAGGAAATACGTTAGAGCCATTAATTTTTATTTTTTGATAACATAGCTTAAAATCCATAGGTGTACAAGAATTGATTACTTTGAATTACCTTAGTTGAATATTTAATCGCGAAATCAAGATTAAGCAGCTGCATGAAGTCCGAACTATCTAGCGAGAAAGAGGAGAGCTAGAGAGAGAGAGAGAGAGAGAGAGAGAGAGAGAGAGAGAAAGGGTACAGATAAGACATACCTATGTCATGAATAATTCACCTCAACCCATCCTCCACATATATCTTCAGACTTTAATAATTGCAAGTGTATTTCTGTGCTGCAATAAATACCAAACATATATGCTTTAAAGTAATACCAGTCTATAACTTTTTTTGGAACTAAAGAAAGTGATACCATAACAAGCAGAAACCACAACGCGCACGCGCGTAACAATAAAATATCATTAAAATACTTTGTGTTAATTTGCGCAAAATGAAAAAATTGTTTCTCTTCCGCACAGTGGCCGCTAGACTATCTTTTCCAAAATTGTTTTTTCCTGATGCTCACCTTTTCTCTCTCTCTCTCTCTCTTTCCCTCTTTCTTTCCCTTTCCTTCTGTCTCTCTTCTTATACGATGCGGATGGATATAAAACTTTATGTTCATATTGCGCGAGCTCTCTCTCTCTCTTTCTCTTTCTCTTCACATAAGAGCTCTCTACAATTTTCAATATTACACCATGCTCAGCTCTCGGCTTGCTGCGAACGAAGGGGCATAATCATCTCACGCGTTTAAGCATGCCCGCGTGCCCAACGCGGCAAACAACGACGCCACAATTTCAATAAACTTATAGAGTCTTGAAAGCTTTCGAGTCCTCGTCATAGTAGACGTCGTTTCCTTGGCTGCGTCACTGCCTCAAGTATAAATAGAGCGAAGAAAAGAAGACTCGACGGCGCTAGATTTTTGCATTATATATGAATGTGCAATACGATGCGCTTTGTCTTTTGCGGAATTGCATTTGAAAAAAGTAACGTATTGTCGACTGCAGCTGCTCGAGATCTTTCCAGGATAAATGACACATTGTTGCGGTTCATGTGCGTCTCTGCAGCGCTGGTAATGACACACATATGTTTTAAGATACACCAATATATTTTAGTGACTGAATTTTCAGTGAGAAAATTTCAATTAAACGTAAGTTTAGTCTTTTATATAGACTATACTTTTCACTAGAAAATAACAGCAAGAAGCTTAATTTCACCGTTCAAATTCCAGCACGTTGTAGCATTTAGTATATATGCGTATAGTTTGGCTGGTAAAGGAAAAAAAATCATCTTTCGTAGTAGAAAAATCAGCATCTCATCTTCCACTTAGCAAAGAAACGACGTCGTTCAAGCTTTCTCTACTGCGCTAGGGAATTACAATTTAGTCGTGCAATTCCAAGGGTGTAACATAGGATACACGCGCACACACCCACCCTCTCCCTTCCTCTCGTAGAGTCGATTTATCACTGTGTGTATATGTGGAAAAGCAAGAGAAGAAACTGACTTAGCTTGGCTTCTGCTCATAAGGGGAGATATTGCGTCGACGCGTTAAATTGCACCTCCTGCCACTCTAGAAATTTTTCTTTGCATTTCAACATATCTATGTGTAACTGAGAATGAGAAAGTTTACATCAGTGGCAGTATAAACGAAATGGTGGGCAGCTATTTTCGCTGAGACTTTTTTTCGCTCCTACACGCCTGATAAACAGTACATACTGCCAAGACATAACATAAGTTTTGTTAAAATATTGGAAAATTGTTTTTATAATAGATAAATGCTATGAAAAGGCTAGGGTTTCCTTGCGCCCAATTTTTATCCATTCACAGGAGACGAACTATTTATTTTTGACCTTTTATTAACCAATTATAATATGCCATATTTCATCTGAGAATTGCTAGGGAATGAAATGAATCGCCTTTACTTTTACTTTATTTATGAACACTTTATCCAGAAAGGCTTATATTGATAAATAAAACTAACATATAATAACATAAAAGCTTTTCTAACTTTGATGAATTATAAGTATAATTCTAATTTTAACAAAACTGAGTTAACGATTAATATTAATATATGGAAACTACATATATATAATAGGTTCTCTCAAGCAAAGCGTGAATGATAGAGAATACTTGATCGGCCGATGCAGAGTAGTTACACGCACTGCCGCTTCTTTTCTCGTTGAGTTGAACGAGTTAAAGTGAGCGTGTCAGCCCACAGTGTGTTTAAGAAGCAAATAGGTTTTCCAAAAATACCACCAAATTTCGTTGTAAAAATTCAAAAGTATACAAACCATAGAATGAAAATCCTAGCTGTTACTTTAGTAAAATGGCCCTCAAACTGCATTAGCCTGTTTTTAATCAAGAGTCCCTAATTTTGACTTCTCTTTCAATGCTTTTATGTGTGGATGAGATTGTGCACTAATCTCAATCGGTGGTACGATAAAGTGCAACTTATAATATATTCAAAATATTTGTAGTACTCTCTCACGATAAGTAGAAAATTTATCTTAAAATTTTGAATTTGATTAATTTTGAAAGCCGTTTCAAAGTATAAAGAGTAAAGAAAAAATTCTTCTCTAGATATACCCTGGGTGATAAATTCTAGACAACTAAAATGGAGGAGGAAAAATCTGTATTTGCCAATATTTTATAAAGATTATATCCAATACGCAAATTTTCGCAGAACATTCATTTTAGTACTACAGAGTACACATCATGTGAAACATTCTTGCACGTAGATATATGTGTATTTCTAGAAGTAAAAGCTGAAAAATATCATCCGAATGAGGTCGCACACATTATGCTCGTCGATCCATGAAATCGTTAGAGTGCGTCCAGACGAAACGTTAGGAACTATCAATGCCCATCCGTTAGGTGCAAGTAAATATATGGGCTGAACCATAGTAGCCGTGATATTTCAAATATAGAAATTGAAATAAAGTATGTATTCTTAAAGAGTGAATTAAAGAATGAAAATTACGAAAAATTCAGCCCTCTATGTTCTCCCATTATGGATGTACAGAAGCTTAAAGGTTGGATTTTCATTTTTTTTAAATTTCATTCTGCTTTTCTGAGCTGAATAAATAATACTCTTGTAATCTTAACTATGTAAAATTAAATCTCAAAACACCTTCAGAAAATATAACATAAAAGTCCAGAAATAAAGTTGTTTGTCTCATTCGAATGGGCTACGGGTGTAATCTGCTGAGGAGATGATGTTTTTTGATTCCTTTATTTAATTTTTTACTCCTTTGATTAATTATAGAAAAATGAAAAACTACTTTTCAGCCATAGTAGATTTATGAGAGGTGAAACTGCGAGACTGAAACTTTCACATGCGTATCATTAAAATTATAATTTTTGTCATATTAGGTCAACTATGGTTTATCCCATATATACAGCCACAATCGTAGACGACACAATCATGCCTGAGCGAAGCTATAACGCTGAGACTTGTATGCTACTTCTTGGTCGTTTAAAGAAATTATATCATGATTAAGGGGAGTCATACACCAATTCATTCCTCTTTGTCATTTTTGTGATATTAATCACAGTTTAATGTCAATCTACATTTTCAACATAAAATTGACATCTCTTAGCACTAAAAAATGTGAAAAAAGTTGCAGAATATGCCTTTAATCTAAAAATCTTCAGAAAAGTACCCTTTATGGGCTGAATTTTGTAGAATTTTGATTTAGACCTTCATATCAATTCTATTATTAAATATATGCTTCATTTACCACAATTTTTTACTAACAATATCTTCGGTTCTATTGATTATATTAAGACGAATAAAAAAAGAAAAGTTTTGTCTTTTTGTGGACAATAAAATGAAAAAGTTTATTTCTGCTGGGGGATTCATGAAAAATACTATACGCACCTATGTAGCGAAAAAGAAAGCCTCAGAGCACATGTTTATCAGCCTCGGCTTGGCCTCGGACGATAATTACACGTGCTCTGAGGCTTTCCAGTTTTTCTCTCCCTAGGCACGTAATATACTATTTTGAACACTGTTTTTATTTGCATAAAAATATTTTTTTACTTTGCATTCTAACTTTCATCTTTATAATTCAATAATAAATGCAAGTTAACGATAATTAATATTTTTTTATTGATATACAAGATATACACCGCTGCTGTAGCAATTTTTGTCTGCAGCGCATATTTTTTTAAACGTAGCCACATAATATTCAATTTATAATTTACAAGCCTTAAAATGAATAAAAAAGGTTTCAATAAGTGATCACCTCATCAGAATTAGATACATACATTTCGTCAAGAAATTGACCGCAGAGTCATATGAATAACACATAAAAAACGTGACTTATTTTTAAATATTTATTTTGAACGTTTTCTACTATCACCTTGACGAAATAAAACATATGAAAGTGTTAAATATATGATAAACTACGTTTTATAAACTTATAAATTTACGTAGGCATTCAAGGTTCAGTTCCTGAGGACATATTTATAGTTCAACAAATAATTATTTTTCAATCAAAATCATGAACGAAGGGAGAATTGAGGGTCTATTTCAGCGGAAAATTCGTACACGAAATTTTAGAAATGATTAGATATATGAGAATCATCATTTTATAGAGATTGTATAGGGTTATTTGGAGTTTCGTGTATGTTACAGGCAAAACCCGAGTTTTCCTAGGCAAAAGCAGATATGCCTATGATTTTCGGACATAAGTGCAGAGCCGTTAAAATTGTTGGAAATTCTTAAAAACTTTATGCGAAACTTTTTTTTAGGCAAAACAAGCGATGCCTAACCAATTTTATGCATTTTCTTGTAGTCTCCTCTGAAAATTCGTGATGTTACCGATATAAATACTAATGATTCAGTATAAATTTAGGCATTTTCGTGAACTGATACATTAAAAATCATGAATGAATAATTAGTCATAAATTTGTTATCAATTATCAATTTAATAGCATAAAACTAATATTTTAATTAAGTACTAGCTTTGAAGCATTTGTCAATATAACGTATTATTGATAAATATACAATAATTTTTACTTATTTAGACAATTAATAATTTCTAAAATTTCGTGTACGAATTTTTCCCTGAAAAGTCAAACCCTTACTAACTTACTGGGTGCTTCTTATAAAAGAACTAAATATAATTTTTTAATGAATCAAGTAAAATTTTGTTTTTGTATCAACAGTACGATTAATCGGTCTAATTGACAGTTGACATATATACAGTGTACTTTCAAATTTCTTACTACTTGATAAATTAATCAATAAATAATACGTTTTTAGATTATTTTTCCGTTGCAACAGGTTGTATATCTCATATGTAGCGTGAATTATTTACAAAATAATGCAATAATAATAGTAATGATAATACATTCATTAACCAAAAAATAATGTATGAAAAATTGACGTTTGTATATAAATATAAATAAATATCATTGCTTATTGAAGCAGTTATTATAACGTTTACTATGACAGCGAATAATTTACACACTATAAACTATCGTACGTAAAACATAACAATTATAACCACTGCGCTAAATCTACATTTTTATATTATAAATGGAAAAAGCATCTTTCATGAAAGTGATCATCTTTTTACACGTGAGCTATAATATTTATTCGACTTTTTTATTTTTCATTATGTTCACCTTATATGTTAAAAAAGCGCATTGATATACAGAGATTGATCGTATCACCATGAATGGAATTCAGGATCGAGACTGGATTCTCACTTATTAATTTTGTATGACATGATGTTGCAATTTTACAATTCAAAATGTCTGATTTTTTTATTCTTTTTGTATATCATAAATAATCAATTTAACTTCAATTATTAAGACTAATAATGAACAGTAGCGTTTAATGTAGAAAATTAACCTATTAACGCTTAAGACGACGAAATTTCGTTTTGCTTCAAAATGTGACTGAATGTTCAGGTTTTTTTGCTTAAACGTACATTGAAGTTTTAGCTAATTTCTCCCAAGCAGGGTTGAAAAATATCGTTTGCAACTAGTCCGCGAGGAAGTTGACTCGCCCAGGAGTCTTTGCAATAAATTTTTCTCTACGTATACCATCTTAAATCTAAGGCCAGATTCTGAAAAGGCATTAAGTTTCACGACAAAATTTGTGTTTGCGAAATTTTTCTAAGGCCCAGAGCATTGAAAAAAATTGCATTGTAAAGCAAAGCGAAACTTCATAATTTTGAGCGTTAATGGGCTAAACTCTAACTCTTTGCACCCAAGCCTATTGAAAAAATCAGTCATACTACATTACGATCAGGATTCGATGAATATACTTGAAAGCTCGCTCAGTGGCAGAGACTATGATCAGCTTGACAGGGAGCATCAGGCGGCGCAAGAAACAATTTTCCATCCTCGCAGGCGCACAATTGATAAACAGAAACACCTTCCGAGCGAGTAGCACTGCTGCTTCCACTAGCAGATCCGGACTTCCTAGAGGACGATGTTGTCGTTGCATTGGAAACTAAACCTCGTAGATACACTGAACGAGCTTCGAGCTTCAAGGAACCTTCGCGACTGGTCAAGCGTAGTTCTGAGAGGCTGCTCGCACTCAACTCGCCCGCCGATGATTCGATGTTTATCCTCTGTGGAGCTCGAATCTCCAGCGATCTTGTGGCCGATTCCAATCTATAAAATAATGCGTAAAACCCCTTAACTATATTATATCAGTGGATTATCAAAGATGCATGAGTGGATTTCAGAAACTTTGACAATTTAAGAAACTATGACTTAAATTCCGTGTTGATGTGTATTGAGTCAGTCCATGCGTTAATTTGTTGAAAAATATTGTTCAAGTTAGGTAAGGATATTTGTTTGAGGTTGAATAAATCAGTAAGGAAACAATAATTAGTTGAAATAAATTAGAAATGTAAGTTATATTGAAATTATCATTTATTAACAAATACAAATTAATTGCTTGAGGTTCCACTGCATGAGAAGCATGCAGACTCAACGATTCGATTCTCAGGGATGCGAGTCCATGTCGATGACAAAAACGAATTAGATTAAATCGACGTGCCAGTGTTGAAAGATGCCTCTTCCGTGCAATATTCTGAAGGATGGTTTTTTGCGCGTTTGAAATGACATCATGTTAATGTTTCATGTTTTAGAACTAAAATTGAATGCTCTTCAAGAATCCTCAGAGCTGGAATAAAGATAATAGTTAAAGTTGAAGCTTCAAACGCAGAAATACCGAGCACCTAAGTGGCATCTTTCTGCTCTGCTTTGCGGAGCGGCATCTTTCAGCACTGGCACGTCGAAATGATAAATGAAGCTACTATGCAAATACCGATATGGCTCGAGAGATAGATAAGATGTTTAGTGTACTTTAATTATCGCTGGCCATCCTCTACGGCGACGATGGTCCCAGGTCTATCTGATGTTGGTTGGCAAGATGGCAGGATGGCAAGCGTCACCTTGAGTTGGTCCCGCGACCAATTATTAAAAGTAATTTAAGGCCTATTTTCGAATCAATGAAAAGTGATGATTTTATATTTGGAAAAGATTTGGCGGTTAATATCAAACAATCTTTAAATGATGAGAAGAGCTGTGCTCTTATTAAAGGGAAAGAAAATAATTTTAAAAATAATTTTAAACATTTTAACAGTCATCGAGGTGCTTTGAAACAGTTCGGCAATTATCGAGAGGGGCATCAGAAAATACCGTTCAAGAAATTCCCATCTGCAAAGCAAAACTTCTCGAAACCAATAAATGGGTTTCGTCGTCGCGATGTAAATCAGAAGCGTTAGAATTACGGGGCGATTGGCAACATTTTATGATCATTGGCTTAAGTTTACAGACGAAGTTTTTGTTTTGAATTGTGTTCATGGTTATGATATTGTGTTTGATGTTCCGTTGCGCCAAGCTTTTGTTCCCAAGGAACGAATGTGGACAGCTGTTGAGAGTAATAATCTTGTTGAGGAGCTTAATAGATTGTTGAAAATAGGTGCGATTAAGCAAATGATTCTATTAAATATAATGTTGAGTTGTCTGAGAAAAGAAAGTTAAGTATTAAAAACAAGCTCAATGCATTGAATTTCAGTAAAAGTTATACAATCAGAGATTATGCTCAGCTTCAAGGCCTTTTGGTATCGGCTTTTCCGGGTGTTCAATACGGCATGTTATATACTAAGAATTTATGATGGCAGTATGCGTTTGTCAAAGGCTACCGTAGATGATCTTGAATGGTGGAATCAAAATATTTTGACATATTTTAAACCTATTTATAAGTTTGATTTTAAGCTTGTGATTTTTACTGATGCGTCTCTATCGGGTTGGGGCGCTTCGTGTAATAGTGAGAAAATTCGCAGGGAAACTTGTTGTTTTTCTCGCTTTGAAAGCTTTCCCGGATTCTATGAGTAATTGTGAAATTTTATTGCGTATTGATAATATCGCACTTTCTTATATTAACCGTATGGGGGGTGCACGTTACGCTAAATATAATTTGTTAACCAGGAAAATTTGGAAATGGGCAGAAAAAAGGCGTATTGGGTTATTTGCGTCGTATATTCCTAGTCGTGAGTATATTGTCGCTGATGCACAATCACGGGTCACTAGTATTGACACCTAGTGGGAGCTTTCTCCTTTTGCTTTTCGTAAAATTGAGAAAAGATTTGGCAATTTTTCTATCTATTTATTTGCATCTAGAGTTAATAGAAAATGTGATATTTTTTGTTCATGATTTAAAGATCCGAATGCATTTGTAGTCGACGCTTTTCCAATTTCTTGGAAAGATTGTAATTTTTATGCGTCCAGCAAAGCGTTTAGTAAAGGCGTTAGTTTGGATGTTATTAAAAGTATTGCCGGCTGGTCAGGTAAGTCCTCAGTGTTTGCTAAGTTTTATCATAAGCCTATTGCTATTAATAATGAGTATTTAATTGCTTCCATTTTATCTTAAAATGTTTCTGAGTTTATATTGCGTTTCTGTATTCAAGAATAAATTGTGTAATCGCTATCTGATATAAATATGTGATATTTATTACTCTAAACAACTACATTAATCATGAGCACAAGGATTGATGTATAAAAAAATTGTTAATCAAACGAACTTACCTTAAGTCAAGTTCGATTTGAATTATACCTAAATCCTTGTGTGAATGATTAGCACCCTCCCTGTATTTGAAATTTTCCCTCTCTACATCTCTTGCGATTACATATCTCTGATGATATGAATGTTTTGTATCGCTATGCGGTATGAAGCAAGGTGAATTCATTTGTTTTTTTGGGTCTCTGAATGTTCGTGGTCAACATCGAATTGACGATGTACTACATCAATCATTCGCACAAGGATTTATGTATAATTCAAATCGAACTTACTTAAGGTAAGTTCGTTTAATTAAGAATTATGTATTATGATTTGCATATCAAGTAATCAAAATTACATTGGAAATTTTTTAAATGTCGTAACGAAAATGTAAGCTACGTGAAATTCTTTTTAACAGTGAAAAATGCAAAGCTTCTGAAATAAGTCGTATAAACTATTAAAGGAGTCAACTATGTGGTTTTACTTTAAATCGTGTCCAGCTGCTGAAGTGACAAGTGGAGTTTGGACACTTCCTTCGAAAACAGCACCACCAACTCCTGTAACTTTGAGATTCTTTGCACCCACGACAACACGATTGTTGCTTGACAAAAATATTAGTTCCCCATTTGGATCGGTTATTCGAAAGGCCTTTGCTACACATTCGACTTTGTCCTCACCTATGAACATACACATAAGCAGTTATCTGTTAGTAATCAATTGGCTCGCTTTTTACTGATGCAATTTATAATTTTTAAATTTCTCACTCAGTGTAAATCTAGCTAGAACTTGACCAGTGTCGCTACGCGCCGAGGCAGTAAAATTAGTCCAAGACTCGAGTACAAGATTACTTCCACGCCGTGATTTTACGCTCGATGCAATCAAAGCATCGAGGATGGCAGCTTGGCCGTGAAGCTCGATACCTCCCGGTATAACTTTTAATGAGCCTATGCCATCCTGAAACAAAAATAAAAATCATATACTTGTAAGTTCAATTTTTTTAAGTGAAACAGTAAATTAGTCTTTCAATAAATAATACGGTGAATCTTGTTGCAACAAATAAATTCTACAAAAGTAATTCAAAGACGTCTCGATACTGCCTCCGTTCGAAAGTTATGCTGGTTAGATACCAGCATACCTACGCACATACACTCATACACTCTTTTACTCATATACTCATATATGCACTAATCAACAAAATTATCGCAACATAAAATTTCATCGAAAAAGAGGAAAATAGAATACAACTCAAAAAATAAATATGCTCGTCTCCAGCGATTAGTTTGGTGATGGTTGAAACAATATAAATCATTTGAGAGCATATTAAAAAATCGCAACGTTTCAACCATCACCAAAATTTATGAGAAGATGTATTTTGATGTATAAAGTGCATACTTTGTTTCAATTTCATTTTTTTTACTATTGCGATTGACGTGATATAGCCCATATATTCACATACACACACACACAAAGACATTTGTTGAGAATTAAATGTAGTTTCCAAATACTTGAACCATATTGTCTTACGACATTTGGCTCAAACCCTTGTTTTCAAGCCTATTATAAAGTCTCCTCTAGGAGGAGACAAAAGTTTCCTATTGAATTTGTGAAAAATACTGTTTTCGAGTCAATGAAATGCTTCTTAGCACGTTGATAACTTTGTTGTGACACATGAAAAAACTATATAAGAGAAAACTTGGAGCATTTTGCAGCAAAAGTCATTCGATTAGCTGCAGTGACTCAGAGTTAATTTTTACCCATCCATCGAAATTATACTGAATTGGCGCCACACGTACACTGGGATAGACTGAACGTATTTTGACGCTACACCGAGAGGCTTTAATGGCTGTTGCCCCATTTCGTGATTATCAAAATTAATCGAGCCACCTACTGCTGGCCGTACTAATTGCCTATGTACTGCATACCTGTATAGGTACCTTCACACGTACATACGTGAAACTGGCGTGCTGGAAGAAGCAGTGTTAAATCCTGAGCATAGCCGCCAAAAGCATGACCAATGAACATCGCGTGACAGCGAAGCCTCACTTTGAATATTGTACATAAATGACAATTAGTATATCTTGATATTTATTGTTGTGAACAATAGTGAGAGAATGAAAACATCAGAGTTCTCATTGTCATTGGTTACTTCCATTTTTTACGATTTTAATAAGATAACTTTTATTTTGTAAAACAAAGATATTGAATGTACACTAGAGAGTATACATAGGCATCTCATAATTCCTTATTAAAGCTTGAATGAAACGAATGAATGGAAAGGCAAAGGTGTTTGAATATCAAAAAATCAGATCAAATGAGCAAACCATATATAAATGGAGCTTCGTTATGTGTTTGCTCTACGTCCGTAATTATTCATCATAATCATCAATATTCATTAAAGATAATAAACAACCTTCAATTCAACACGATTCGTCGATTTTCTGCATTGCGCATGCTAGCGTCATTTTTTACTTTTCATCCTCATTTAAAATTGTGAATTTTACACTCTATTGTCCATACGTCTGGCCATCGGAATGTCGGACTATTTAATGTAACATTATTCAATGGAATTTTTGTGTATCAATAAAAAAAATATAGTTATTTTATATCTTCAATGTATACGAATTAAGCATCTTTCATACTGGAAAAAAAATTATCTCTGAATGTGTACGGATATGCATAAGAAAAGAAATAATTTTCATGAGTTACATAGATATGTGCGTACAATGTACTCTCAAAGTAGTGTACACAGACGTCGAAAAGATTCATTAAGTTTTTTGCGGTATGTAGTGAGTGTATGTGAAAAGAGAAACATTTTTTCTCTTTTTCTTCGGCTTCGTAAAAGATGAGCAGTAGCGTGCATGTGTACAAAAAAATAACAAAAAACGAAATTGAAAATTTGTCCATCACATCAAACTCAATTTCGTTTTTTCATGCTTGGAAACGCTGACAAGATAATTAAAGAAGTAAAAGAAAAAATAGTATATAACAGTAACATGATTAAAAATCTCGGTTAATCAAACGAATTTTCATCAAAAGTACTAACTTACACCAGTCAATTTTTTTATATAAAATCTTTCTATTAAGCCCTTTTATATTATTTTGTAAATATTTATACTAGGGGACGTATGAACTTTTTGGCTTATGAAAGAATCGTAGAAATAAATTTCTACACAAATCAATTACAGAATTATCTAAAAGTTTAATGTATAGTTAAAGCTAATGAATTACAGCAGAAAATATCAAAGTTCACTTGATAATGTGAAAATTTGAAACAGTTCCATAACGAGTGATAATATAATTACTGTTGCAAATATATTTTCAACAATTCCATTAATGCTACTATACCAGTATAATTCGTTAGTTAAGAATGAGAGTGATTGTGACGCTCTAATCATTATATTACGTCATTGAATAAGAAAGGGTGAGCAAACTGAAGTCATTTATGCATTATACAGCAATAATTGTGGGACATCACTCTCGTCGATTTGTGCACGCAGCTATGTAGTATGTTATACTTATAAAGGATCCATACACGTACACGTGTACACAAAGTCTAAATCATGTTTACGAGCTCGACTCGTTATTGCGCGAGCTGAGTTATCACAGACAATTAGAGAACGTATTTTTCTGCCCTTAACCTGAAAACGCGTGCGTTCACGCGCATTTGTCCGACCACGTCAGTACGTCACAGGATCTCTGACAGACCCAGGATAGATATGCAGCTTTGAGTGAAATTTTTTCTTTTCATCGCCAAACTTACGCTTCATGTAGCTTTTAATCAAAAATGTCTTTCCAACCGTGCATCTTAATAATTAACGATTAACGCCGCTGAAGAGAAAATTTGTATTCCTTACACACAGATAAACGCAAGCAATTTCATTGATTCAGAGTGGAACAGATTCGTTTTTTGTCAACTACATACACTACTCAACTAAATTATCGCAACAAAAAATTTCATGTAAATTTTGTCGATTTTCAAATGCTTCTATCTTGGGCTACATTTATCGTATCGATACAATTTGGTTTTTGATTTCTTGGAAATCTTTGCCTCTTTAAATCCATGTATACTATGATTAGGTTCGAGTTAATATCGAACTACCAGTAGTATTCGAGCGCAAAAATAAAAATTACTGAAAAAAATTGATTGTTTAAATGTGTAACCACACTACATAGTCCAGTCCAGTTAGATCTGACTCTATGTTAAACGTGAAAAAATTCGCAACCGGCGTTTCTCACCGGGATTTGTTAGGGTTCGATGGTAGGAATAAAGTAATAACAAATGCCACAGTTGAGTCGATTGGAATTTCAACAATTGGGCCCTTTAAAATTAGGAAAATTGGTTTTTCGGCTACAGATTGAAAACCGTACATTTTATAAAAAAAAGTTTCAAGCGAAAGTTGTAGGTCCTTGCAAGACCTTCAATTTGACATATATAACATTGGAAATCGGTTCATTTGATTATCGAAAACGCCTCAATTGTCAATAACAACAAAAGGGACTTACAGACATTGCAAGAATATCTAAGTGGGCTCAAATCAAAGATAACTACTTCTACTTTTGTAAAATAACATATTTTTATCATAGATTACAAAATAAGAAGTAATTATCTTTGATTTTAGAGCACGTAGATATTCTTGCGATGTCTGTAAGTCCCTTTTGTTGTTATTGACAATTGAGGCGTTTTCGATAATCAAATGAACCGATTTCCAATGTTATATATGTCAAATTGAAGGTCTTGCAAGGACCTACAACTTTCGCTTGAAACTTTTTTTTATAAAATGTACGGTTTTCAATCTGTAGCCGAAAAACCAATTTTCCTAATTTTAAAGGGCCCAATTGTTGAAATTCCAATCGACTCAACTGTGGCATTTGTTATTACTTTATTCCTACCATCGAACCCTAACAAATCCCGGTGAGAAACGCCGGTTGCGAATTTTTTCACGTTCAAAACTAATTTGACTGGACTAACAGTAATTTGTTTATAAAAATATAACATAAACCATCGCAAAGTACTCTTTTCAACGAGTACTTTCCTACACAATTGAAAAATGTCTCGGATTTTAATCATGCATCTGAATAATTTTAAATATACCGCCTGGTTTTAGTCGCTAACTCATTTTTGATGTCCCTAGATACGTAAATGTCAAGTATTATGACTCAGCTTTCCATTAGTGTAGGTTGCGGCTTCAAATTGTACATTTTAGCTATGCAGCGATAATTATTCTATTGGAAAATTCACGTGTTTCAAAAAAACTGTCACCTCCGTGGAAATGAATATCTCAAGCTATGATCATTCTTTTTAACCGCTCGCACCGTCAAAAAACTCGTTTTTCAGGCAAGGTATCATTCGTACCCATGAAAATTGTACACTGGCATTTGTGTACAAGTTTCATGTGTACGAATGATACCTTGCCGTTTTTCATGACCGAATTTCGGGTTGTACGGAAAATTTTTTGCGTTTCTTATTCTTCATACTTAGTTGATCAAAGCAGCGATTTGCCACCTCCGTGTGTGTCACCTCCGTAACCGAAAATAGTCAATTTTAAGCATAAAATTGGACATAGTTTTCTAGAAACGAAATCTCAAGGCCCCGCATTCAATGATTATTCATATTTTATGGTTTAAAAAAGGGTAAACTAGTTTGCGCCGTTCAATGTGAAGAAAAAATTTTCACCATTTTTTCATTTTCTGTACACGAAAAAGCAGACTTCAGGAGAATCAACCATACATGCATTTAAAGAGGACAAGATTCCCAAGAAATCAAAAAACAAATTGTGTCGATACGATAAATATAGACCAAGATAGAAGCATTTGAAAATCGACAAAATTTCGATGAAATTTTTTATTGCGATAATTTTGTTGAGTAATGTATATTAGACTGTCCGTTATTTTCGGAATTGCTTAAATCCTCGCTCTCATATCTTGAAAGCTCATTATTTGCCTTACAATGAAAG